GTGGAAGGTGTCCCTGCCCGTGGCAGGGGTTTGGAAGTGGATGAGCTTTAATGTCCTTTCCAAGACAAACCATTCTATGATTTGTGCTTGCTCACTCCATATTCTTTCATCCAGGCAATGCAACAAGACTTCCAATGGGAGCGACAGCTGTGACTTGATGTGCTGCGGCCGAGGCTACAACCCCTACATGGACAAAGTGGTGGAGCGATGCCACTGCAAGTACCACTGGTGCTGCTACGTGACCTGTAAAAAGTGCGAGAGGACTGTTGAGAGATACGTGTGCAAGTGAAATCCCTCCTCTTTCCACCTGGGAGCTGAGATGCCAGCGGCACCCCAGCACTGTGCAGAGAAGAGAAATCATTTCCCCGACTAAACGTCGTTTATCTTGTAAAGACACAGACTTGAAGGAAGATGGTAGGAGGAAAATGAAAAGCAACCACACCAGTAAAAATAAGACTGTTAAAACCCCAAAACAAATGTTTCCCCCACCAATAAAATGCTCTCTGAGAAGACAAAAACTCATTCAGGATGTTATCTTCTTCCCGAATATTTCCTATGGTCACCAATGATGTCCAGCCATCAAGTGCCTTAGTATTTTGAGAAACAGAAGTAGAAAGCAACTCTTGTTTGAAAACAACTGAGGCTCACACTTATCTTCCAGCACAGGTACTGAGTCTGCATTAGGACCATCCCAAAAGGGAAAACACTACAACTTCTCAGCAATAACTGCCTTTGTTGCCAAAGACTTTGAGCAGGGAAGCATCTACCCAGGATGATAAAGGTGGAAAGTTTTCAGGTCAATCCCCTGAAGTGAACAACTCATTTAAACCTTTCTTTTACACAGGTCTGCGACTTCCAGTTCGCTGCTGCAGGAAAAGCTATCCTTGGCTTGTCCAGGCTGGATGGGATTTTGAATTCAGCCATGCAAAAAAATCCCCTGGGATCATGGAGGCAGAATAGGGTACCCTGAGAAGGACTCGGGGTCTATGAGATAGTAGTGAAGATACTACTATGGGGTCTATGAGATAGTAGTGGAGATATTAGGATAAAATATCAAAGTGAAGTCAAAATCCAGTGGGAAAGTGACAAAACAGCTCCTGTTCTCTTTCTCTCTTGCCTTTTGGGTACGATGCCCTTAGTCACTGATGTTCTGCCACACTGGGCTATCGAATCCTTAGGGAAATATGCCGCTGCCTCATTGTTTCCTGTATAAACTATTGACCCAGCCCCAAGAAACTGCAAAGAGCGGAGCAGGTCCGGTCCTGGCTGTGGGAAGCAGGGCAGCAGCTATTCCCAGCAGGAAGGAATGGGAACGTGTCAGTCCTTCACGTGGCCCTGCCCTGAGACAGCAGAGAACCACTATCTGTGGCTGTACATATTTTGTATGAGAACATACAGATATATTTATATCTCATGCTTTTGTCTACTCTATTTCCTACATAAATATATCGATATGTTATAAACAAGCATGAACAATAGTATGAAATAAATGCTGAAGTTACTGGTGCAACAAAATGTTAGATTATTATGTTTCACTCTCCTTCTTGGAAAGCAACCCTGGTTTTCCTCCCAAAGACAGGAGAAGAGCATGGCTCGAGGCACTCGCTGGCGTGGGATAGATAAGTTCCTGTATTCCCTGCTTTCCCAGCCTCTTCATTTGAGCAGAATTAGCCAAGATACAGTCAAGACAATGGAACATAGCACTTAGAGAAAGGAAGAGTCACCATTCTTGTTTTGTATCAGCGATCACTCTCATCGGCAAAACATCTCAGTGCCCCCAAGGAGCTTAACAACAAATTGACTAATACCTCTCATGGTTGGTTTGCTCCTACATGTGGAGAGAAGTGGCTGTGCAGGGGAGGTTTTAGCTTGGGTTAGGTTCCCTTCCTTGCTCTTTTTCTCTTGCCATAGGCAGTCAGATCTGTGTTCCTGTTAGGAAAGGTGATGTTGAAGAAGGATGTCTGCTATAGGAGCAGAAGGCAGCAGAGCCTGTGAGGTCCTTCAGAGCATTTTTGGGAAGCCCATTCCCTAAGGAAGTGCTGTACATAGCCTGAAAATCACTCCTACAGAAATGTAGGGGGACAGTGGCTTTTTTCTATGGGGAAATACGTTTATAACACTGCAATCTTCATCCAGATCCCCTTTTTCCCCCTCACCCAGCTGCTGTCGAGGAGGCAACTGCCTCTGACATCTCTCTGAGCAGCCCGGAGACCTGGAGGAGAAAAGCATCGCTGGCTATAGAGCAAAATGAGAGATATTTTGCTCTCCTCAGCTACTTTGCTTTGCTGTAACGGGTTTGGTCTCCTCGCCTCCTTCCCTCCCCCAGCCACGAGCAGGCAAAAGGAAGCCTTTGGTAGTTTGTCAGTGGTTTGTGTTATTGTCACCCCATAAAAGCTGGTGGACTAAAACGTCTCTGCAGTGTGGTGTGATGAGCGGTGGGTGTCTTTAGGCTGACATGCAGACAGGCTGGTGGCACAAATCCCACTGCTCTCCAACGCCAGGACTTGGCTTCGTTTGATATGTAAAGAAACGGTCTACTTTCATTCTTCTAAGGAATTTTTATTTCCAGTTGCTGATGGAGCCAGCGAGGCAGGGATGTTCTGAGCAAAGAAAAATCTGAGCATTTCAATGCTATTCTGTAATGACTCTTTTTCTTGCTCCCTTGCTGATGTCCTGAGTCTTTCTGCTTGGCGAAAAAAACAGTGAGGTGGAAGAAATGCTCTATATGCACATTGTTTTCAGCTGCGTTTCACTCCTCCAGCGCCAGAGCTGTGTTCCTCAGCTGGTTTTCTCATGTCAGAAGAAAGTTTGCAGAGCATGAAGAGATGTGAGGAAGTCTACCAGGTATCTGTAGGTCCATCTGGTGGGACATGACCCTTCAGCAGACTTTAGCCATGGTGGTACCTCATTCTTTGTGTCCGCCCCTGCCCATAGCTGTCTGTTACTGAAGATAGCAGCCTTCCAATATCTGAAGGGGGCTACAAGGATGCTGGGGAGGGACCTTCGTCAGGGACTGGACTGACAGGACAAGGGGTGATGGGTTCAAACTGAAACAGGGGAAGTTCAGGTTGGATCTAAGGCAGAAGCTGTTCCCTGTGAGGGTGCTGAGGCGCTGGCACAGGGTGCCCAGAGAAGCTGTGGCTGCCCCATCCCTGGCAGTGTTCAAGGCCAGGTTGGACACAGGGGCTTGGAGCAACCTGCTCTAGTGGAAGGTGTCCCTGCCCGTGGCAGGGGTTGGAGCTGGAGGAGCTTTAAGGTCCCTTCCAACACAAACCATTCTATGATTCTGTGCTGAATTGAAATGCTGTGATATTCGGAGGTTTCGGTTTGAGGCATCCAGGCCCAAAATCTCTGCTGGCTTCTCTAGAAATTCATCATGGGCTTCATCTGAATTTTGCTTCTTTGAGGTAAGAGTCTGTGTGTTCTCAGCCCATGTCCTAGGCTGTCGGTCTATGAATTCACACTGTTACATCCCTTCTTCCACAACTCCTAATTTTTAGAGCCCTTTTCTTCTCTGGAGCAGCTTACCCTGCATTGACAATGTGTTTTACCAAGACAAGAGTAATGCACAGGGCAAGGTCTGATAAACTGCAGCCTCCCTTGTTACACAGCCCTGCTTCATCCTGAAAATCAGGGTCATTTCCCTCTTGATGCTCTGGCATTTTCCATTTTTTCCAGAAAATGGCTTTCTATGAGAGGGAGACAAGGACTTTCTGTTTTCTTTTCCTTTTAATAGAATCTAGGTATAAAAAGAGAGTCTATAACAAAGAGATGATAACATTGGACCATACTGTGGAAGGTCTAATGGTGCATCTTGTTCCTCTCAACCAGGCTCTGATACTTTCCTTGTGCCAGCAGCAGCAAAGCACAAAGAGGCCAGAAGAGAGGTGCCCTTGCTCTCAATCGCAATTCTCAGTGCAACAGGACTCCAAAACGTGGCTGCCAAGTTATTTTCTGTGCATGTGTGGTCTGAGACATATTTGGGAGAACACTTGTCACTACCCGTTTTGCAAGGAAAATATATCCCTAGCAGCAGGGCAAGACCTTCATGTACCACTCTTCTTCCGTCTCCCAGCCCCTCAGCAACCAGTTTCTAGGCTTTGCTCTGAAACACTGAAGTCTTTCAGCTTCTGAATGAACTGGCTTTAATTACTGTGAACGTCTCTGTCAGGTGATGCTACAGTTCCCTCTCCTATAACATTGCCCTACCAGATCCTAATAGCTGGTATAATTTGGCCAAGCTCCATGTTCTACTACACAGCTCTGTTGATTTACATTAGCTGGGAAAATACAGCTGATATACCACCATAAATACAATCATTTCCAACTATTACACTACTACCCCTGAGGGAAGAAGACAAGCTGTCTTGAAAAGTATTATTTCGGTGGCTTTGTAGCATTTACTCACTTGAAAAAATATCCATGATTTAATGAACCAGGTTGGACTTAATTCTATTTCCATATCTGAGGATTTAGACCTTGTGTGCATCCAGCTGGATTTATATGTTTTGATGAATTCCCCCCACAATCTTCACCCTCTTCCAGTTTTAGATCATTTAGGTTTCTCCCTAAGGTAGGGAAATGACATTCATTTTAGAAAACTCCTATTGGATTATTTATTTTAGTCCACAAAATGGAAAGTATCTTAATCATGCTAAAGCAGCAGCCCACAAATGTTCCATGGGCAGCTACAAAAGCCCTTGCTGAGGGGAAAGGGTGTGGGGAAAGGAAACAAAAATCTGAATAGAATAGAATCATTGAATCCCAGACTGGTTTGTGTTGGAAGGGACCTTAAAGCTCACCCAGTTCCAACCCCCTGCCATGGGCAGGGACACCTTCCACTAGACCAGGTTGCTCCAAGCCCCAGTAGAATTAATAGTGTCTTTGTCAGGAAAGTGATAAATAAGTCCCTAAGGGACCATTCCTTTTCCTGCTAGAGAACAGATCCCTGTAGACAACCACTAGCATCCTCTAAGTGAGCTGGGCTTGTGTTGTCCAGCTCTGGGCTACCTGCTTGGGGAAGATGGTGGGTGGAAGCATCTAGAGGTACTTGGGCACATGGGAAGCAAGAGGAGAATTCAGCCCTGGGATGGCTTGTCCTTAACACCCTCACCTCACCATGAAGGATTTGCCTTCCTTGCATCAGGGTCATCAAACACCATCTCTTGGGGCTTTGTGCCCAAAAGCTTCTCAGAGCAACCACAGACAACTTTGTCCTCTGCACACGGGAGACAGAGCAGAAAACAAGATCTGGGAGAGGGGGAGAATGAACAGGAAACTTAAAATCCA